CACTCTGATTAATGAGTTCTCTGGAGGATGCGGTCCTCACCAGACCTGTTTGGACTGGTCCCTGGTCAGTGATCGGGTCCACCCTGATTATTGAGTCTCTGATCTTGGACTTCCCAGCCTCTACAACTGTAAGAAGTGAATTTTTGTTCTTTATAAATAACCCAGTCCGTGGTATCTTGTTACAGCAGTGTAAGTAGACTGAGTCATTCTGCTTGAGAATTTATTGTTTATCTTAGGTCAGTTACTTCACCTCTTTGAACTTTAGCTTCCTCATCTCTATTGTAAAATAAGGATACCCATCTCCCTGAGCTTTTTGAGGAAAAAGCAAAGTGCAGGTGCCCTCTTTCACCTCAAGAAACATTCTGATAGCTCCCTCTCCTCTTTTGAACTTACTGTTGATCCTCATTGCCTAGCAAATCAGGGTGGAGCTCCTTAAACCCAAATTCTAGACTTCACCAGTGACCCCAGGCACCCCTTTCTCCTGCACAGCCCCCAGGCAGGTCTGGTTCAGCAGGCCCCCCATCCCCTGCCTGGCTCTCCAGGCTTTGCCCCACAGCTTCCCCCTCTTCCCGTCCAAGACTGACCCTTCCACAATGCCCAGTGCAAGTCTCCCCTCCGCTGGGAAGCCTTCCTTCTCTGGTTAGCACAGAACAGTGTTAAGACAGTGACGCCAGTTCTAATGTACATTGTGTTACACTGATATTTCCACCTGATGTAAAAATTTTGAGATGTGAACCTGCACAGAGTAAAACCACAAACAGCACATTACTAAAACTGGCAGGCCCAATCAATTAAAATGATTTCTATGCTGTCTCCCTGGGACTCTAGGTGTTGAAGAGAATGCCCACCTGTGTGGCTATATGGCTTCCCTTCAAGTCTCATGGTTGCCTCACACCCAGCCCTGACATACACTATAGATCGGGACCAAAGGAAAACAAGGCATTCAAGTTTCCATTTAGCTATCAAGTTCACTTTCCAGGAGAAACATGTTTGATTTTATAAAGTAAATAAAACTCTGCTTACCAAAGCAAGTGGCTTTTAATTCATGAGGGGAAAAGGTGAAAACTGTATGTATTACCCGGGTATGTAAGAGTCCATTGTCTGCCGCTAGGACATGACAATGACCTCTTCCTTTTGGAATAGGTTCAGTCCAATTCCAATATTGGTTGACCCTGAAAATCCCTCAAGGTAAAGAAGTTGTGTTAAGAAGATAATTTTCTGCTATACTTACTTCATTATATTTAGAATTCCAAATAGAGAGTTTGTAGGAATGAGAGACAGCTGTGTTTCCATGCTTTCTCATAACCTGATGGGACAATAAATCCCTTTAAACTGTTAAATACCTCTGCAAACAGATGTCCATTGAGGGGGCGTTAGACTGTCAGGTATGAATTTTGCCTGACACGGTGGGCACCGGTGCCTGCTGAACATTCCTGCTTCTTGGTTCCACGCAGTTGTTGACGTCTATCAAGGCTGGTGTGGCCCCTGCAAGCCCATGGTGAGCCTCTTCCAGAAGCTGAGGATCGAGGTTGGATTGGACCTTCTGCATTTTGCATTAGTAAGATTCTCTCAGCAAAAAGTCATATGACATTGGAAAAAAAATTCTTTTAAATTTTAAAACAGCAAGGAACAGGAAGTGTGAAAGGCCTGCTTCCAGATCATCGAAAAGGCCGAGCGAGATACTCTCCTTATCTTGGGAAGAGTGTTGACTTGAAATGGCACTCTCAGAGCACAGGGTTTCAAGGTTTCCATTCTTTGCTCCTTAAAGGGGAACTTGTAACAAACATTTACTTGGAGTTAATGTATGCAAATGGGAATAAATTCCAGAGACGTTTGTAAGAGCCACTGTTGGTACACCACATACGTTCATAGACACTGAGGATAGGAGAAAATATACCTTACACTAATCTCAAGAAGTCGGGCTTCAAGGACTTTGCAGTTCCCACCTTGGGATTCAGTTAGGGACTTCTGCAGAGAGAGTGGGGGATCCGTTGTGTCCCTGCACAGTGGGTTTATCAGACAGAAGCGACATCTGAGGACCTTCCCCTTAGTTGATGTCAGTGGTGGCTGCAGAAGGACATTAGACAATGAAGCTTCCTCGGACTGGTGAAGTAGCTGGGTCTGGGGCAGGAGAAACTCTTGCTTCCTCCTTGTTTGATTCTTCAAGGTAGTGTGCTGTCCACAGTGTTCCCCAACGTATGGACAGGTCAGCCCTGCTTAGGAGGAGAGGCACGGGAACAAGCTGGGGCTTCACTCGCGGAAGGTTCTCATGGGACATGCAGTTCCCCCTGAGGCTCTCCCCCTGCACGCTGGCTGTCTGCTGATAGCTTGTTTTCTTTAGGCAGAGGCAGATTGTCTTGATGTCCTCGAGAAATACAGAGGGAGATGTGAGCCAACCTTTCTATTTTATGCAGTAAGTATATTTTTAGAACCAAAACCCTTTGATTGTTGCACATCGTTAGAGTTCAAATAGATGTGTCTTATTGGCATAGTTCTCTCACTGCTCCAAAGAAGAGATGCTTCCTGCAGACTGTGTGTATTGTGGTGACTACATATAGACCCCAAGTCTAAGTGTAAAGCAGAGCCCTGACTAGTGGCCCAAGGGCGCTGCTCTCCAGAAGGCAGATGACACAGCTTGCTGGTGGTCACTGTTGGCTGGGCCAGCCTTCCTGACCGGTCATTCACAGGGAAAGAATGTGAGTCACTCAAATGCACATACTCCTTCTTGGCTAATGAACACTCAACCTTTTCTTCTCCTGCTTATTGGAAGAATGAGAGTTGTCTTGGGCAACACATTAAATACACAAACACTAACAAAAGCTGGTGAGCAAAAAGGCAAAGTCCATGTATACTTTTCATGATATCTGACACCACAGATAAGCAAAACAGTCCTCAAATAATCTGCATGTGTTGACTTGGCACTGTAGCTCAGTGGTTATGGTGCCAGCCACATGCACTGGGGCTGGCGGGTTCAAGCCTGGCCTGAGCCTGCTAAACAACAATGACAACTGCAACAAAAAAATAGCCAGGCATTGTGGCAGGTGCCTGTAGTCCCAGCTACTTGGGAGGTTGAGGCAAGAGAATCGTTTGAGCCCAAGAGTTTGAGGTTGCTGTGAGCTGTGATGCCATAGGACTCTACCAAGGGCAACATAGTGAGACGCTGTCTCCAAAAAAAAAAATCTGCATGTGGTCTGTGGGCCATAGGTTGGACATCTCTCTGTCTAGGCTAAGGGCTCTCTCTCAGAGCAGACTTCTAGATTTTTGTCCTCTTCTAAAAGGGAAACTTTTAGCAAAAATGAATACTACTTTTTGGGTAGACATGGCCTGCATTCACTTTTATTTAATCATAACATGTAAAGATATGTTTATAGAGAGTCAGAAAAGGGAGGGACTACTGAGGAAAGCCAAAGCCAAGTGATATAGTATTTTGAAAATATATAATTTCATATCTTTGGGTGTCACGCCCACGGTATGGCTCCATGCCTCTAGGGATCACTGTTTCACACCTGGCTTCCTAGGTGTAGGTCACTGCCAGGCCCTGATGACAACTGACTACTCCTGACCCAGACCAGCCCCCTCACTCTACAGTCAGGGAAACTGTGTTCCACTCACCCAGTTCTCCTGACGGCCAGGGCAGGGTTGCTTAGTTTGGGAAACTTTAGCTTCCGGGCCTCAACATTGCAAGTATTCTAAGTTGGAAGCTTATGATAAAACATTATCTGAACTTCAAATTTTAGTGGGGAAACTAAAGTTATATATACAGGGTTGGGGAGGAGCTCAGAGATGAGCTTGGTTCCCACCACACTTGACATCAGAGCTCCATTGCACAAATGGGATCTTTATCAGGATGGTTTGATTGCTTGAGCCTGTAGCAATGAAAGCATTCATCATAATCTGCCATAGGGGAACATGGGCCACAATCGCTAGCCTTATGGTGGTCCACCAAGAGGTAGGACGGGAGTGGAAGGAAGAGCCACACTATGTGAACTTCTCCCTCTCCAGGTGCACTTCTTTGTGGGCAATACACAGAGAGACTATTGGAAAAGTTAAAGCAGAAAACTCAGGTTCGGTGTTAATACTACCTCTATGTGAAGTCTTCCCTGGCAACCCTAGTTGGTGCTGAGAATTCTTGCTCCATGTTCCAAACACCTTATAAGCTCCCCTGTTAAAGCCATTATCTTTTGTTAATTGTTTCTTTGGCCTGGATACCTCTCTTCTCACTTCACTGCCCCTACCTGAGGGCTGCAACTATGTCTTTTTGTGTTTTGTGTTTATATTCTTTGCCTCTGCCTTGGTGCTTGGCATCATAAATGCTCAGTAAATATTTTTTTGGGAATAAGCCAAGAGTAAGCCATATGCAGTTACTCAACTTATAGGGTACTGTGTCTCCCTTAACTAACTGCCCTTTGTTTTGCAAGGAGGGCGCATGGAGTAGGTAGATAGTAGAGATCAGAAAAGAAATCATTGTAGAACTAGGAGCAGACCTGAGGACGTCTTGCTAAGGGAGGGCAGCAGAGGTTAGCACGCCCCAACCCCAACCCTGTACTGGAAGTGGATGATGGGGTTGTGGGGCTTGACCTTGGGAACATTCCTAAACATTCCTGCTATCTCTTAAAAGGGATTCGTATCTGCAAAGAGGATTTCCTGTGATTTGTAATGTATTCTAGGGAGGAGAACTGGTGGCTGTGGTTAGAGGAGCAAACGCCCCACTGCTGCAAAAAATCATCCTAGACCAGCTGGAGGCTGAAAAGAAGGTGCTGGCTGAAGGCAGAGAGCGGAAAGTGGTAATCAGAAGTCACTTTCAAAAACAGCAAACTCACAAGTGTGGTCACAGGGCAAGGCCAGTGGTCTCCACCCCTTATCTGATTTTCCTGGAGCTGTTAGTGGACGGTTTTATAAAAGTCCCACCTGGGTCTGTCACTCATGGGGGTCCCAGGGAGCATACAATGGTCGCTGTGATGTGTGCATTTTGAAGTCACCTTTTAAAAGTCACCCCTTTCATCCAGAACTCTTTAGCCTATTTTATCCATTTCCTGTTCATCCCCCACTTTAGTCTTTACAAACAATGAAAATAAAGTTACAGAATCGTGTGGTGGGTAGGAGAAGTCAGCTACCCAAGCTCCCCTAAGACTAACAGTGAAATCTCTCCTGGTAACCCAGCCCCTCACATTCCTGAAGGTTTAATTTGTGAATCCAGAGGGTTCTTTTTTTTTTTTTTAGAAATTAAGCTCTGACTTTATCATGAGAAATAGAATCAGCATAGCTTGTGATTTTAATAAATTATTTCTCTAATAACACAGACTGCAAGTTCTTCATGAATAATTGGCTGCCTTTGAAATCCACGTACCTTAGGTAGAGAGGTATTTCCTGGTGCTTTAAGCATCAGTCAATCTTGCTTTAACATCTTCAGTGTTCATTCAAGTTTTCATACTCGATTCAAATGGCAAAGCTTCATTCCTATACAATGGATTAGAATCAGAGTATATTTTTTTCCCCAAGAAAATGGCAATTTTCCCCCAAGAAAGAAAATTGCAAGCACTTACATTTTTATGTGCCTCATCTTTATTTTCAGAAGGGGAAGATGATCTTTCTTTACCATCCTCTGCACTGTGTAGCTGTGTAGCCAATCTTTGAACATTTTCTTGGATTTCAAATCTTTGCTTTGTCAACTCTACTTAGTGCTTGTGAAAAGAGGCAGAATCTAAAACTTAATCATGGATTTTGTCATCCTTCACTGTCCCCCAGCTACTAATTATAAAATTTCCAAGACTGATCCTTTTGACCTCCTTCCCGGTCTTGTTCTGTTTCGTTTGGGCTCTGTATTTTTGAACCTGAATTTTTTTGGTTTCTGCAGGTTTTTGAAGCTCTCTCTGGTAATTTTAATTAGCTAACTACTTTCTGTTTATGACCAATTTGTACTAGATTAAAGATGAGGCTCTTTCTGATGAAGATGAAAATTTTTCCCGGGGAAAGGACATTGTCGAAGATGAGGATGTGGGTGAGTGTAGCACCAGCAAGCAAAAAGGCAAAGCAGACTCACATGTCGTATGTGTTTTAAGGATATGAACAATCAGGTTTTTTAGCAATCTAAACTCTGGGGAGATTTTTAATGGTTCACAATCCTTTTGTTTTCTTTTTTATTGATTACATAATAGTTGTACATTGGGGGGGTTACAGAAGATAATTTGAAACATTCAAATAATGAAATCAAGGTATTGGAATATCTATCACCTTAAATATTTATCTTTATGCCTAGAACATTTGAATTACTTTCTTCTAGCTATATTGAAATGTATAAGAGATTAATGTGAACTGTAATCACTCTACTGATCTATTAAACACCAGGCCAGACTCGGCACCTGTGGCTCAAGCGGCTAAGGCGCCAGCCACATACACCTAAGGTGGTGGGTTCGAATCCCCAGCCCAGGCCCTCCAAACAACAATGATGGCTGCAACCAAAAAATGGCCAGGCGTTGTGGCGGGCGCCTGTAGTCCCAGCTACTTGGGAGGCTGAGGCAGGAGACTCGCTTGAGCCCAGGAGGTTGCTGTGAGCATGATGCCATGGCACTCTACCCAGGGGGACAGCTTGAGGCTCCGTCTCAAAAACAAAAACAAAAACAAAAACCACCAGGCCTATTTCTTCTGTTGGTATATTTGCACAACTCTCATTTAATCAACTCTCTTCATCTCCTCCTCCGGCCTCCCCTTCCCAGCCTCTGGTAGCCACCAGTCTGCTCTCTATCTTCATGAGATCCACTTTTTAGCAATCACTTACGAGTTTGTCTTTCTGTGCTTGGCTTATTTCACTTAACATAATGAGACCTCTAGTCCCATCCGTGTTGCTGCAAATGGTAGGATTTTGTTCTTTTGTATGGCTAAATAATATTTCATTGTGTATACGTACCAATTTTCTTTATCAGTTCTTTCACTGATGGATGCTTGGGTTGTTTCTAAATCTTGGCTATTGTGAGTAGTGCTGCAGTAAACATGGGAGTACAGGTATCTGTTTGGTATGTTGATTTCCTTTCTTTTGGGTATATAGCCAGTGGTGAAATTGCTGGGTCATATAATAGTTCTATTCCTCATTTTTTGAGGAAATGCCACACTGTTTTCCTTAATGGGTATACCAATTTATGTTCCCACCAATGTATATGAGGAGTTCCCTTTCTCCATATCCTCACCATCATCTTTTATTCCCTGTCTTTTTGATAAAAGCCATTCTAACTGGGGTGAGATAATATCTCACTGTTGTTTCGATTTGCATTTGGATGATTGGTGGTGTTGATCACTTATTTATATACATGCTGGCCATGTTCATTCAGAACTTTTGCCCATTTTTAAATCAGTTTTTATTTTTTTGCCGTTGACTTGTTTGATTGGATTCTTTATATATTCTGATGGATAGTTTGCAAATATATTCTCATATTCTGTGGGGTTTCTCTTCACTTTGTTGATTGTTTCCTTTGCTATGCAGAAGCTTTTTGGCTTGATATAATCCCATTTGTCTATTTTGCTTTTGTTGCCAGTGTTTCTGAGGTCTTACACAAAAATCTTTGCTCAAACCAATGTCCTGGAATGTTCCCCCAATATTTCCTTTTACTAGTTTCATAGTTTCAGGCCTTACATTTAAATCTTTCATCCATTCTGATTTGATTTTTATATATGGTTAGAGATGGGGGGTTAGTTTTATCCTTCTGGATATGGATATCTAGTTTTCCCTGTACCATTTATTAAAGAGAATACCCTTTCCCCATTGCATATTCTTGGCTCCTTTGTTGAAAATGAGTTGGCTATAAATGCGTGAATTGATGCCTATATTATCTATTTTATTCCATTGTTCTATGTGTCCCTTTTTATGCTATTACTTTGCTGATTTGTTTACTATAGTTTTGTAGTATATTTTGAAGTAAGGTAGTGTGATACCTCAGCTTTGTTCTTTTTGCTCAGGATTGCTTTGGCTATTTTGGGTCTTTTGTGGTTTCATATAAATTTTAGGATATTTTGATAGGGATTTCATTGATTCTGTAAATTGCTTTGGGTAGTATTGTCATTTTAACCCCCCCCCCCCTTTTTTTGATGTCCTCTTGGACTTCTCTCACCAGTGTCCTGTAGTTTTCCTTATATAGATCTTCCACATCTTCAGTTAAGTCGATTCCTCAGTATTTTATATTCTTTGTAGCTAATGTAAATAAGGTTTATTTCTTATTTTCTTTTTCAGATTGTTCACCGTGGGTAAATATAAATGCTACTGATTTTTGTATGACGATTTTGTATCCTACAACTTTACTGAACTTATTTATCAGTTCAGTTTTTTGGTAGTCATTAGGTTTTGCTAAATATAAGATCGTGTCATCTGCAAATAAGACTTATTTGACTTCTTCCTTTCCCATTTGGATGCCGTTTATTTTTTTTTCCCTTGCCTTACTGCTGTTATCAGGACTTCCAGTATTATGTTGAATAAAAGTGATCAAAGTGTGCATCCTTGTCTTGTTCCAGTTCTCAGAGGGATGGTTTTCAGTGTTAGCTGTGGACTTGTCATACATGGCTTTCCATTGTTTGTTTTGTTGTTGTTGTTGTTTGGTTTTTTGAGACAGAGTCTTACTTTGTTCCCCTAGGTAGAGTGCTATGCAATCATAGCTCACAGCAACCTCAAACTTGGGCTCAAAGTAATTCTCTTGCTTCAGCCTTCCTGGTAGCTGACACTACAGGGGCCTGCCATAATGCCTGGCTTTTTTTTTTTTTTATTTAAGAGACAGGGTCTCATTCTTGCTAAGGCTGGTCCCTACCTCCTGAGCTCAGGAATTCACCCACCTTGACCTCCCAGAGTGCTAGGATTACAGGTGTGAGCCACTGCGCCTGGCACTTTTTATTATTTTGAGGTATTTTCTTTTTTACCCAGTTTGTTGAGATTTTTTTTATCATAAAGAGATGTTGAATTTTATCATATGCTTTTTCAGTATCTATTGAACATACGGTTTTTGTTCTTGATTGTGTTAATGCAATGTATCACCTTTATAGATTTGTGTAGATTGAACCAGCCTTACCTCCCTTGGATAAGTCCCACTTGATCATTATCTTTTCAGTGTACTGCTGAATTCAGTTTGCTAGCATTTTGTTCAGGATTTTTTGCATCTATGTTAATCAGCAATATCAGCCCGTAGTTTTCTTTTTGTTGTTATTGTTGTATACTTGTCCAGTTTTGGTATCAAGGTTATTGTGGCCTCAGAGAATGAGTTTGGAAATATTCCTTTCTCTTCAGTTTTACTGAGGAGTTTGAATAGAATTAGTATTAGTTCTTCTTTAAATGTTTGTAAAATTTAGGAGCAAAGCCATCAGGTTCTGGGCTTTTCTTTGATGAGAGACTTTATTACAGGTTCAATCTCATTATTTGTTATTGGTTTGGTGGAGTTTTCTATTCTTCATGGTTCAATCTTAGTAGGTTGTTTGTGTCCAGGAATTTACCCATTTCTTCTAAGTTTTCCAATTTGTTGGTGTATAGTTGTTCATAATAGTCTCTAATGATTCTTTTATTTTTGCGGTCTCAGTTGTTAGGTCCCCTTTCTTGTTCCTGATTTTGTTTATTTGGGTCTTCTCTCTTTCTCTCTTTTTAAAAATTAGCCTCACTAAAGATTTGTCAATTTGGTTTATCTTTTCAGAAAACCAACTTTTCATTTTATTGATCTTCTATATTATTTTTAATCTTGATTTCACTTATTTTGGCTCTCATCTTTATTATATTTTTCCTTTTACTAATTTTGAATTTGGTTTGTATTGCTTTTGTTTCCTGGAGGTGTGTTGTTGGGTTCCTTATTTGAGGTGGGCATTTTTTGCTAGAACCTTCTCTCTTCATACTGTTTTTACTGTATCCCATAGATTTTGATATTTTGTATTTCCATTTTCTTTTGTTTCAGGGATTTTTACATTTCCTCCCAAATTTCTTCATTGACTTCATTCAGAAGAATATTGTTTAATTTACATGTGTTTGTGTAGTTTCCAAGGTTCTTTTCATCATCCATTTGTAGTTTTATTCCATTTTGGTCAGAAAGGTACTTGATATGGTTTCTAATTTTTTGAATTTTGGGGGACTTATTTTGTGGCTCCAGATAGTGTCTGTTCTGGAGGATGTTTCATGTGCTGATGAAAAGAATGTGTATTCTGTAACAGGTGAGATGTTCTATGAATGTCAGGCCTATTTGGTCTAGTGTGTGGTTTAACTCTGAGATTTCTCTGTTGATCTGTGTCCAGATGATCTGTCATTACTGAAAGTGGGGTGTTGAAGTTCCCTGCTATTACCGCATTGTAGACTATCCTTCCCTTTAGATCTATTAATGTTTGCTTTATATACTCGGGTGCTCTGGTGTTGGGTGAATATTTATAATTGTTACATCCTCTTGCTGAACTGACCCCTTTGTTATTACATAGTGACCATCTTGGTCTCTTTAACAGTCTTTGGCTGTAGTCTATTCTATCTGATATAAGTATAGCACTCCTGTTCTTTTTTTGGTTTCTGCTTGCATGAATATTTTTCCATCCTTTCACTTTCAATCTATGTGTGCCTTTATAGGTGAGGCAGCATATAATTGGGTCTTATTTCTTATTCATTCAGCCACTCTCTGCCTTTTAATTGGAGAATTGAGTCCATTTATATTCAGTGTTATTAGTGAAGAGTAAAGACTTATTACTGCCATTTTATTGTTATTTTCTGGTTATGTTTTAAATCTGTCTTTTCTTTCTTCCTTTCTTACTGCCTTCCTTTGTACTTAAGTGATTGTCTCTGGTAGTATGTTTTAATTCATTGCTTTTTATTTTTAGGGGGTCAGGTATAGGTTTTTTGCATTCTGGTTCCCATGAGGCTTACAAAAAGCATTTTATAGACATAGTAAGGTTTTTTTTTCTTTTTGTTTGTTTGTTTGTTTTTGAGATAGAGTCTCACTCTGTCACCCTAGGTAGAGTGCCGTAGCATCATCATAGCTCACAGGAACCTCAAACTCTTGGGCTTAAGCGATCCTCTTACCTTGGCTTCCCAAGTAGCTGAGACTATAGGTACCCTGTATGATACTTGGCTATTTTTTTCTATTTTTAGTAGAGATGGGGTCTTGCTTTTGCTCAAGCTGGTCTTGAACTCCTGAGCTCAAGCATTCCAGAGTACCTCAGTCCAGTCCAGTCCAGTCCAGTCTACCTCAGCCTCCCAGAGTACCAGGATTACAGGCATGAACCACCATGCCCAGCCATAATAGGTTATTTTAAAGAGACGACAGCTTAGATCACAAAAAGAATGAGATCAGGGAAAAAACTAAAAAGTAGAAGAAGAAGAAGTCATCTACACTTTAATTCCATCCCCCTACATTTTTACTTTCTGTGTAAAAAAAAATTACATGTTTTTATGTTTCCTATCTCCTAATAAGTTGCTATAACTATATTTAGATTAAATATATATATATATATATTTAGATTTGTCTTTCAAGCTTCAAACTAGAGTTATGAGTAGGCTACACACCACAATTACACTTTTGGAGTTTTCTGGGTTTGTCTGTACACTTGATTTTATCTGTGGGTTTTATATCTACAAACATTTTCTTTTTGGAAGTGTGACTTAAATGGCAAATACCAGACATCATGAAAAGCTCAATTTAACAAAATGGAGGCTAGTAATACTAATAATTTAAAGCAATGATGCTAATATTTCCTTGGTCTTTATTGGAACTAAAAAGTACAAGCTTCTTTTTTCACCTTTTCCTGAAACATTAGAAATATCTTCCCTTCCCACAGCCCTATACCCTCTTTTCCTAGTGCCAAGTATCAACTCACAGATTTTATATTCTTGGACATTACAGCTCTTCTTGAACTTTTCGTATGAGAAGGACAACTTGGCCTGACAGTGGGAAGGAAAGCCAGGAGTTAGTAAGGCTGTTTGCCTGGATGGTGCAGCTCAGTAGTAGCTGAGACACCAGGGGAAACAAGCATGAAGTTCAGGAACTCTGTTGATAGTGGGAGGAAGGTTTCTTTTACTATTGCATGAAGTAGGAAGGTTGTTTTCTCTGTGCGTGGATAACAAGGACTGTTAGAATTGGATTCTAACAAGAAAGGAGGCATGGTTTAGGAGAACAAGGAAACTTTGAGTACGAAAAGAAAAGCAGTGATTTGGCTTCTGCGGGAAACGTGTGGCCTCTTTTAGCATTGGCTCCTCTTCCTTCCCTTCTCCCTTCTTTCCTCCCAAATCAAGGCTCTCCCACCTTGAAGACTACACAGAACCCTGCACTTGCTCTCACTCCTCCTGTCCTTCATACCAGGCCTCCTGAACCTTGTCTACAGTCTGGGCCACCCTCACCTTCCACTCCTGCCCCATCTGACTACAATCTGGCCTCTGTGCTCACTGCTGCCTGAAATGGTGCCCACCAGTGACATCTGTGACACTTTTGGTGTCAAACCCAACAGCAGTTTCCCGTTAACATCCTGTGGCTCTTTCTGCAGAAGGGAAGGGTGTTCACAATGTCTTCTCCAGACCTTCTTCTTTCCTGTTTTCTGCGATGTTCTGACCTTTCCTGTGTTCCTTCTACACTTCTGGCCTCTCCTCACTGTCCTTTATCACCTCTTTTCTTTTGCTCCCTGTTTCAGCTGGAGCTCCCCAGGCCCCTGCTTTGGTTTATTCTTACTCTATGTATCCCTAGATGATTTAACTAATCAGTCAACCTATACATGGAATTTGTTGTAAGAATCTCTTAAGGTCTAAGTATTCATAACATGTTGGAAATAGTCACAGAAAAAAAAAACTAACAGATTTGTTGCTTAAAATGATTTATACCTTTGCACTACATGTTTTTGAGATTTTCGGAGTAGAACGCTTTCCTTAAATATAGTTATTGTCTTGTTTCATTGCAACACAACCAGTGTAAAAGTCAAGAAGCAGAAAATAGGTGATGGGAGAATGCTGCTTCTGTGACAGGTGTAGGTAAGTTACTAAGGCCAAGCTCCTATAAGCAGGAGGACAGTGGAGATGGGCTCCCGGACTAGACACAGATGTCCCCACAGCCAACCACGAGACTCTGATCTCATGACCCCTCTCTCATTGCAAAACCTGACTGGCCTGGTGGACACAGACTCAAGGGCAGTTAATCCGTAATGCCTCGGCTCGAGCCAATGAGCTGGCTAATCTGGCTTCTCTCAGGAGAATTCAACTGAGACAGAGGACTGAAGCTGGGAGTATGTTCTGGAGGTAAAGAGTCATGTAGACTCAGGGCCTGGGGCAGCCATTATGGTCCCATGGCAGGAAAGGTAAAAAGCAGCAGAGGCGAAGGAGCAGTAGGTGAAAGGAGAACGGGCAGGCAGCAGTTAAAGGCCAAGCACCATGGGAGGGTGTGGTAGGGTAAGAGGGGCTAGGCCTGTGTCGCTTCCATTCCAGCCTCTCCTCCCCCTGCCTCACCCACCCTCCCTTCCCCTCTGCCCCCCTCATTCAGCCCCTTCTGGGCTTCTGTTTCTAAGCAGCTTTTCAGCTCCCCCAGGCCGTCCCTCCCTGATGCACCCAGGTTCACTGAGTCAGTCACTGAGTCTCTCACTGCCAGGTTGAGGATAAGGTCTGGGGCCAGGGAGTCCACCAGTGTTCAGGTTTGCAGGGACATAGCTAAGAGGCCAAGGGGATCCTGGGGTCCCACATCTGTGCCTGGCATTGTCGCTGTGGATGGCCTGCTGAGAACCCCAGACTCAGCATCTAACAGCACCATCCTTTGGCTTACTTAGTGTCCTCAGAGAAGCCGTGTACTGTGGCAATCATTAAACCAGATGCAGTGGCCCATGGAAAGACCGATGAGATTATCATGAAGGTAAGAGAGTTGACACTTAACCCGCACAATGTCCTCGTGTCCTCTGTGGTGGATAAACAGAGAGGAGCACTGGGCAGTGACATCCTGGTGCTGGGAGAAGCCTTCAAAAGGAGTAACTCAAAGTCCATTCAAGGAAATTGAAACATTAAGTCTGATTGGGACAGAAACTGGGCATGAGGGTCTTCATAGCATTTAATGCTGCCCCTCTCTTTTTTCACCTTTCAACTAAGTAACGTGAATTTCAGCTTGATTCACCCTTTCAGAATATCTGTATGTGTTCTACAGATCCAGGAAGCTGGGTTTGACATTTTAACAAGTGAAGAGAGAACCATGACCGAGGCAGAAATGCGACTTTTCTACCAACACAGAGCTGGAGAGGTCGGCTTACCTGCTTTCATACGTTTAACATACTCTCATTTCCTTTGCTTCCTCCATCTGTGTGTTTATAGAATGATATTAGTTTGGGAGAAAACAGAATATAATGAACAAAAATATGAACAGCAACTGGGTCACACATTTGTTCTTGGAATAATTATAGGCTGTGTCAGGTACAATTCTTTGGTTGCAAAGAAAAGATTTGGACTCTAAGTAATGAAAATAAGGAATATATTAGAAGGATATTCTGTAACTCACAAAATTGAAGAAAAAGAATGGAAGGAAGAGTTTAACACGAAGGGCTTGGGACGGAAGGAACCAAGACAAAGCTAGGCCAAGCTGTATGCATATCACTTTAGACACTGCCATCAGGTAACTCAGACCCAATCAGTTTCCATTGGTTTCTGCTTATGACTCATATACTTGGAGTTGGGTTGACCTAGCTTGGGTCATAGCCCCACCTCTCTTGGTAGGAGTGTGTTTGTGTGGGAGGAATGGCATGATGGCGGTTAGTCACACTAGGGCCTAATGAAATGGGGAAGGGCTGTTCCCCAAAGGAAAACCATAGTACTGTTGTGACTTGAAGGAGGAAGGGTTTCAAAGCATTGCACGCAAACAAAGACTTGACTATATTCCATCCTTTGGTTATCCAACATTCACTTATCTCTCTTTTTTTGAAATCCATATATACAGTTTTAAAAATACCTCTTATTTAAATACCTCTTAACCTTATTATAGCCATCTGATTTTCAACCCAAAACTTAAAGTCTCTTACTCTTGTTAAAAAGAAAAGTCTTTGTTCTCTGGGCATAGTCGGTCATTACTACCACACCTCCCTGACACTCTCTGTGGCAGGCCGAGGTGGCCAGGCAGGGGAGTTGCGGTGGCTGAGTGCGCACAGGCATGCTTGTGGGCCCTAGGCTGCTCACTGGATCCCACCCATCCTGGGGGTGGTACGGGATCACTGACCCTCTGCAGGTCCAAGTGGCTCCTGCCCTAGGTCACTGTCTTCCTTCCTTGTACCTAGGAGGCATTTGAGAAGCTGGTTCATCACATGTGCAGTGGACCAAGCCACCTCCTGATCCTCACTAGGACTGAGGGCACCGAGGACGTGGTCACTGCCTGGCAAACTCTCATGGGGCCTTGTGACCCCAGTGTGGCCAGGAGGGAGCAGCCTGAAAGGTGACATTATCAGCTGTGGTCCTTGCATTCATCTCAAAACCTGCACCCCAAGAAGCTGAGAGCTCCACTTGGTGCTTAGACCAGAATCACGGGTAACACAGAAGTTTCTATGGCAGCCAGCAGCCCCCTCCTTTGTTATATATTTGGGGAGAGCCTGACATCCACCTGCTGTGGTTCAGGCCCCAGGCTTTTGTTGCATCCTTCTGTGAGCTGCCTCCTTGCTGACGCCTCTTTCCCTATGCCTCTTCCAGAAGACTGCTGCTGGATTTGGTCCTCAGTCACCATTCTCTTTCCAAGTCCTATAGTGTGGTCCAAGGAAAATCCAGATTCCAGGGCCCCAGTCAAGCCTGTCAAGTTAGAGGCAATGAGGCAAGGCCTGAGAATCAGGATCCCCATCCACCCGTGCTCCCCACCCAGGGAATCCTGAGGCCGTTTAGAGTCGGAGCACCCCATTCTGCACCTTGCACTAGGCTGGCTTCAGCTGCTTCTTGGCCCTGGGAGTATTTATCTGGTGCTAACGATGCCAAATCTACCTTATCTTGGCCTTTGAAGCTGAGAGGCCGAGATAACAGGAAGGAAATTAGCAAGAGGCCAAGGAACTGCAGTTGCCCACTGTATTGTAGGGGGCCAGGAGCATTCTATATGAGGTAGCCTGGGCTAGCAAAAGATAGCCCAAGGTTCCAATCTGAGACTGCATACTCAGGCAAGTGCCTTCTCAGCTTCAGGTCCTTCATCTGTACAGTGGGAATATAAGCCACTATCACTAGAGGATATGGCAGCTTTTGACACAGAGGAGGTATGGCAATATTAGTATTATCTTGTGTAGTGATTGCAAGGATTGACTCTACAATGCTATATGAGGCACTTGGCATGGTGCTAGCCTTGGTAATAGTATGCAATAGTAAACAAAATGGCAACTCCTGTGCTGACACCATAACTTATGCATCTTTAAAATGGAGCTAATAGCAGTCTCCCTCACAGGGCTGTGGAGAAAATGCAATGAGACTGTGTACATAAAGCACCCGGCCACGTGCCCATTACCAAATAAATGTCAGTACTATTATCATTGCTGCTGTTCTTGGTATTTCCTGCAAAGAGAAAGCAATTTCATAGGAATGCAGAATGCTGATTGGTAGTTGGTGATCATGTTGCCAGAAAGCAAAACATTTCTTTTCAAATGAAACAAACGTTTCTTTTACATTTTGCCAATGTTCCCAGTCTCCGTGCTCAGTACGGCACAGAAATGCCCTTTAATGCTGTCCATGGAAGCCAAGACGGAGAAGCCGCCCGCAGGGAACTGGCCTTGCTCTTCCCCAATTTGAAGTTTTCAGACAAAGAAGCCCCTCAGGGTAAGTTATCAAGGCAGATTTGGTGTTTATTAAATCTGATGTGAAAAGGAATTTGTGACTATGTGTTTGAGTGTGGTGGGGGGACTGGTAATAATTACTTTGGCCAATAAGTATTCAATCTAATAAAGTCCTTTTCTGAAAATATGGGTCATTATATAATTTCAGTATCAATACTAAAATGTTTTGTGTTTTAACGGAATAACAATGTTGCTTTTCAATACCGCATTAAATGTTTTGATGCTTCTTATTTTGGAACTATATATATTCATTGCAAAGAACTTTGTTTATATTTCCCTGTTGAAACCACTGAGAAAATTTCATTAACTTTCTGGAAGCTTACTTCAAAGCCAGTCAGAGGCCAGATGTGGCTCCCTCACTTGCTCTGTGCTCCATACACCCCAGGCCAAGTCCTAGGGGCTAGCTGAGAAGCAGGGGCTGCACAGAGGGGCCCTCTATATGGAGCCTGCTGTGACCCTCACATCCTTCAGCTTCACATTTGTTTCATTTTATTTTCATTATTGTTTTTGAGATAGAGTCTCACTCTGTCACCCTGGGTAGAGTGCTACCCATGGCATCATAGCTCATAGTAACCTCAAACTCCTGGGTTCAAGAGATCCTCCTCCCTCAGACTTCCAAGTAGCTGGGACTGTAAGTGCCAGCCCCAATGCCCAGCTAATTTTTCTATTTTCAGTAGAGATGGGGTCTTGCTCTTGCTCAGGCTGTTTCAGCTTCACATTTGAATGTGAGAGGATAGTTTAAGACCTCCCCCTTCATGGGGAACATTCACAGACAGCCTCTGGGAAAGGTGTGCTGGGTTATCACCACCTCCAAATCCAGGTGAGGACCCCAAGGGGTCCAGAGCCCATGAGACTCAGCCTGTTCCACACCCAGTGGGAGAACTGGACCTGGCCTGTGCTGTTATGTTTCTGGGCTTCATTTTCTGGTCTGGGTCTGCAGTGAGGCAGAAGGGGTTGGGGATGAATATCCTGGGAAAAAACAAAGAACGTGAGGGTCAGTTTCTTGGGAGAAGGCTACCGGCAGCTCTGAAATGGTAGTAAGCTATATGTGTCCTGTTTGATATGCTTATGTCTCAAGATCTGAAATCCAGGCAAGTCAGGAGGACAGGACACAGTAAAGGTGAGGTGGGAGCTGACTTATGCTGGCTCCCGCTGGCTGAGTCCTTGTCACTGCCATCGGAGGAACAAGCTGAGGGTGCCACAGCATGTGGCAGTCAGGAAATCCTGGGAAGTGTGGCCCACTTTCTGGAAGGGGAGCCCTACAGGGGCAGCTTTCCTCTAGGACCTGCCCTCCGGGAGAGCCCATGATGCATTTTGTTGTGTCCAGGGTCATGGGACATCTTCATCCCTTGGGGGCCATTAGAAGCAAATAGATCTAACTCAGGATCAAGTCTAGAGTGGAGTTAGGTGACTCTGTCAGGAAATACTTATTGGGACTGTGGGGGAGAATGTAAGCCTGACTTTTTGGCCTTAGGTGATAATGAGCAAAGGGATAATTCCAGTAGGGTCTATGCCCAGGTCACATCCTGGGAATAGGTGTACAGCCTCCTATGGATTCTACTTTGAAGTGCCTTGTTGGGGTTATGTTCTGCCCATTTGTTTTGATGTGCCACTACTTTTCAGTTTGGGGGGTACTTTCAAAGTACCCAGCACTTTTCCTGCTAAGAAAAAGGCCCAGAAAAGGCACTGGGTGGGGGAGGGGAGGAGTGAAGGGCTCTGAAGATAGACAATCCCGGGTTTGAGTCCTGATTGCACTACTCCCGAGCTGAAGAGCCTCTGAAAAGTTTACCTTTCTGGGCCTCCATTTCCTCATCTGTGAAATGGACATAATGTAGAGCCATCATTATAACCCTAAGCTAACTTTGTAATAGTAATCTTCCTCGTAGAGCTGCTGTGCAGTTGCAAGGAGATAGGATGTAAACCTCTTGGCCAGACACATTGGTGGCTCAATGAATGCTACTCACTCTAATCAATCCCTATCCCCTAACACCTGCCTTAGGCTCCCCTTTGCTGTCCCTCCCACCCTGACCCCTAACTTCATGGCCAGTGGTACAGGTAGACCTCACTTTTCCTGTTTCTTTGTGGATATGGGTGGGGCCGGACTGGGACAGGGCATCCTACAGAGCATCTGTCGTCCCACAGGCGGTGAGGACGAAGGAGCGGCGGGCTCCACTGAGGTGCCTGGCATCCCTGAAGATGAGGATTGAGCTGGCTGTGCTGCTCTTCTGGAGCATGTGACCAGGGTGAAAGGGCAGTGCACTCGGGTCATCTGCTGCACAGAAGGGACCTCCAGAATTGGAACTTAATACTTTGAGCAACAGTACTTTTTTGGTTGTCTTTCAGAGACAGTGAACTCCTGCCTTATTAAACAGTGTATAGAACACATGCTTTTTTTTTTTTTTCTGTCTCTAGGATTTTACAAAATAAATGGGCATCAGTTATCATATTTTGCTGGTAGATAAGATGTCATCTCAGAGGATACCGAGGTACATGGGAGGGACAGTGTTTCTTCAATAATACATCTACTATATGGATCAAATAATTGTACTGCTGAATTTATGTATTTTTTATTATTTTTATTTTATATTTGAGACAGCATCTCACTCTGTTGCCCCAGGCTAGAGAGCCATGGCGTCATAGCTTGCAGCAATCTCAAACTCCTGGGCTCGAGCAATCCTTTGTCTTAGCCTATCAAGTAGCTGTGAGCAATTTGCCCAGCCTTTATTGCTGAATTTCGTAACTATGACTTTGAAAACAGTGCATCATGACTATCTGTGACACTTCCAGGCATACTGTGTGGCGAGAGACATAAATCAGCTTCGCGTCCCCCCTCCTGCTGCCTGCCCACCTCATATAACAACAGTATTTTATGCTGCCAGACTTGCTCCTCTGCGGTCTGCCATGAATCAGGGCACATTCACACATAATGCTTGGAAGTTACATTTGGGACGAGGGTTCATCTAATTTTCTTAATGCATCCCTCACCCATTTTTTGGTTTCAGATTTTGGCTGAAGTATAATTTTAAAACCTGAGAGCTCCTAGTGGGACCAGGTTGCTTTTAGCTTTCATTTTCTGCCAGCCTGGCATAAGGTACTGTGTGCTAGGGCCTTGCTGGTCCTGGGTTCAGAAGGATGAGTTAGTACTTGAAGGTGGGAACCAAGCCCCATGGGACCTGCTGTTGAAGGTTACCATTTCCCATGATGTTGGGTCACATCGGGATGGAAACACATATGCCCACAGCATTCACTAGGATTTATACTGAGCCCTCACGTGAAACGTGTTCAACAGAGCCCTCACTGGCAGCATCTGTCAGGAAAGCTGGATCCACTGTTCCAGACCCCCAGACACACAGCCCACCATGGAGCTGTGTTCTCACTTTTGTGAGTGGCCCAAGATGGGCACACATTTGGTCTATGCCTACCTCAGAGCTGGCAAACGTCTTGGAGAAGCACAATCACCTAGCTGACAGCAATCTGATTTCCCCAGAATCCAGGAGTCACAGATCTTTGTTGCTGGTGATATAAGGTGGAGCCACTAGGGCCTCAGAAAGCAGGACAGAAGGAAAAAATTAGGTGGGGAAAGTCAGCCTGTGAGGAAGCTGTTTGTCAGTGATGGATCTTTAACCTTTCCCAGGGAGCAGCTGGGAAGGTGAGGGTAGGGCAGGTAAGGGCAGGAGAGGCGCCAGGTGACAGGAGCACAATCAGAGGGGTGGTGACACGTCTCTTCCTTTCATTACTGGTGGTCCAGAGCTGCTGGGAGTTCAGCATTGCTGGGCATCTCTTTCCTAAGAGTATAGAAGGTTCACGGCAAGGGAATGCAGGGAAGGAGGGAGGTTCTTGAGAGTAGCCCAATGTCTGCTCACTTTCAGAAGATGGAATGCCTCCGCAGAGACCCTGGGCCTGTTTTCCCACAACAGAAGCAAACTAGCGCTGCAGGATCGGTGCTGTTTTTTGGCGCTGAAGCCACTCAGTTCCTGAGGGCCTGGCAAGTAGGAGGGCAGGCCTAAGCCCCATGAAATCAAGGACAGTGGTTCCATTCTAGACTTGCTCTGGCCTTCCACTCAGTGAGAGGACTGGCTGCTGGGAAAGCCACAGCCAGGAGTCAGGGACTATGAAGATGGAAGGAGTAAAGGTGGCTCAGTGGTCTATGACCCTTGGGAGGCTCCCTTAGCTTTCCCTGAAGTCTGATCCCGGACCAAAACTTCCCTCATATTAGAAATAAGCATGTGCCTCTCTGCCAGTAACCAGGCAAAAGCCGTGCAAAGCAGCAGGAAGGGGCAGTACCGGCCCCTCTCTCAGGTGGCAAGGTTGGGACCTCTTTCTGTCAGTCCTCCATCAGGACCTGGGGTAGGACTCCCCCCATTCCTCTCCTTTCTTAGGCCTCACTTCCAAGTTCTCCCTGTGGAAAAGTGAGGGCCTGCCGGGTCTTGCTCCTGTTTTCCCAGCCTCACTTCATTCAGTCCTGAGATCCCCTCCACTAGAATCTCCATGCTAGCCACCTCATCGTTCTCCCCCCATGCGATGGGGGCAGATGTCCTTGGCCTTCTCTGTTTCAAGTGAGATCCTGAGATAGGATGTGCTGTCTACATTTTAGAGAGGGGACAAGAAGGCAGCACACAGTAAGTGAAGAGCACTTGTGTGTCCTTGCAGAGGGACAGCAGCTGCTTGTGCACTGTGCTGCTGGTCATCTGCTAAACCCTGGTCTGAGTCCAGCAGGTAGTGACAGTGGAGTGTGGCAAAGTTAAGAGGAGAGGGGAGGATGGAGGGGGTGGGCACAACACTGGGGACAGGAAATCTTGGTGGTTGGGAGTGGCACTTGTAAAGGGCCTGCTGGCCTTCAGGAGGCCAAAATGAGAGGGATCTCCAGACTGCTGCAGATGCCTGGGGAGCTATAGTTACCTGAAGGCACCAGCCCCCACCCTGAAATGCAAAGCCACTTCCCAGCCCTTCATTCACCAAGAATCACAGTTTCCAAAAGCCAGTACACATTATCTTCTAATGTTTTAGACATTTGGAAAACAGACTCCTTTTTAGAAGTTGCCATGATTTTTCTTGGCTTTTATTAGCATGTGTTAAAATCATATTATTCAAACACTACCAGAAGAACATGTATTGTTCTGAATAAAGTGCTTAAGGAAAAAAAATGCAACTTATTAAACTGGACATTCTTTTCTAGTTCATTTTGGGTTACAATCAGGGCACAAAAGGAGAAACAGAATGCAGTATTAGAGAGAGTGAGAAGCTTAGTTAAGAACTTGGGTGTAGACAAACATAAGACCATGTCCCATTCTTCCCACTTCCTTGCTGTCTGAACACTGCACCTGCATAAAGCAGCAAACAGCTTTGTTTTAATAAATACATTTCCCTTCATTCAAATCAGAAAAGGTTAATTATAGTAAAGCATTTTTTATTTGACCATCTGTTTATACCCACAGGTAAGATTTATCCACAGAGTTTAAGTGAGAAAGTGTTATTTCATTGGGCCTTCAACTTTCTATGCTATTTGGGTTCAAGATTGTCTCAGCAATTCATTATTGGTTTCTTTATATTCATTGGGTACTTTTTAAAACCAGCACTATAGTGTTACAAATGCCAACCAAGGATATTTTCACAGTACTAGAATGAGTGGGCCTAAATATTTATTCTCAATAAACTAGGTTTCATTAAATTGTTTTTCTCACAGTAGCAGTCTGATCTTTGCGCAAAACCAAAGTCCTGTTTTGACAAGATTTTAAAATAAGTGATGTTCTAAAAAAAATAACAACTTGCAAAATCTCTGTGTTCGACTCTTGGGTGGTCATGTTGAGAACAGAAAAAACTGCATTAAATACATTTTTAAAACATTCATTTGCAATCAAACATATTTAATCTTCCAAGGAAGGTACAGGTTGGTGATAGGGTGGCTGTGATGTGAGCAACACCATTAGCAGTGGCTGGTGGGTGGGCTTGGGGCCCCTTCACTGGTATACACTGCAAGCTTCCAGACTGGAGGGCTCATATCCTGGCCATGATGCCTCTGACCTCCTTTTAGCAAAGAGAAAAGGAAGGCTGGTTCTACCTCCAAACAGTCAAGAGCAACCTTTGTTGAGTTCACCTTGCAGCTGACCCAGAAGTTGGAGCTGGTACCAAAGCTAAAGAATACAGAAGGGCTAACAGCACTCACTGTAAAAAGAAGTCATCTTCAGTCTCTGGGGAGATTCTCCCTTCCCCTCTCTCAACTTGAGTGCTTTCAGCTTCATGTAGGAAAAGGTCTTACTAAAGTTTTGATCTCCTTTTATAGAAAGCAAACCAACTACCAATCTTGAACA